ACAGAGAGAGCTGGAGAGAGGGAAAGTGAGAAATCACCAACCAAGGGAGATGGCCACCCACAGTCTCTTCTCCCATCTCCTCTCTGGATTTTGGGCACACATACACATGCTCCTGGAGTGAGTTTAAAGCTGAGGGTCTGGGACTCAAAAGGCAGTCAGCCATAAGGGAGTCTAGCACCTTAACCACTTTGCTCCTGTTGGCCTATACATTGGCTTTTATAAAGCAAACTATTAGTTGAGGATGAGGCAACTCACACTTTTCAGATAAACTGTATCCAAATAGATAGACATGCAAACATACATGTATAACTCAATGAACTCAGATCAAGTTTTGTCCTTACCACTGAACCAAATCTGTCTATGTCAAAGTTGCCAGTGACTGCCATGCCAAGTCCAGTGACAATTTTGTTACCTTACTTAATCTACTAAGAGCATTTGATGCATTTTTTTCCCCTTCTTTTTCAGACACTTTAAAAAAATTAAACTTGGGCTTTAGAACTCTTCTGTTTTCTGTCCATCCTCATTCACCAGCTAGCCTCCTGACTTTAAATACCTATGATGCTCACTCCCAACTTTCTTTTTTTAACAAAAAAAATTTTTTTGAGAGGTTTTTGCTATAAGGCGCGTGTGCTCGCCAGACAGACAGAGAGAGACATAGAGACAGAAAGCGAGAAATCACCCCCCAGGGGGGATGGTCACGCCGCAATCCCTTCTCCTCCATTCTCCTCTCGGGATCTTGGGCACGCACGCACACACGCCCGGCGTGAGTTTTAAGCCACCAGGTCCGGGACATGAACCGCAGTCGACTACGTGGGAGTCCAGCGACATAGCCATTACGCTAACTGCTGGTTCCCAACAAAAAAATATTTTAAAAAAAGGTTTTAGACAGAGTTTGTTGTGTCATGATCCTTCTGTCTTAGTCTTGTAAGTAGCTGGAACTATAAGCCTGGTCACCAGGCTTAGCTATTTGGAGTGGTCTGAGAATTAAACCCAGCCCCACCATGTGGCCTGCCTGCCACCCAACAGTGCCCAGCCCCACCTTGAGGCTTGTCTGTCACTCAACAGTGCCCAGCAAACACTACTGTGGCTGTACCATGCCCAGTCTTCTATCTCCGGGGAAACCAGTTGCTCGATGCTTACTCATGGATTCAGCTGTGTAACTAACATTGCCACTTGAATGTCTAATGGGACTGCACCCTTGGCATGTTTACAATTGAGCTCCAGGTTATTCCTCCAAACCGGGTCTTCCTGTAATTTTCCAGAACTCGGTGGATAGCAAGTCCACCTTTACAGTTGCTCAAGCCAAAACCCTTAGCATTCTGCTCTTTTCTCTTACCTCAATTCCATTCTTTTCTCTTACCCTATTTCCATTGCATCAGCAAATTTGATCAGCTCTTCCTTCAGAAAATCTCCAGAACCTGGTTTCTTCTATCCACCCTCTACTTTCACCCTGGCCCAAGTCACCAATCTAGCCTGGATTGCTACAAGAGATGTAACAATCTTTCTGCCTATGACATCCTACAGCCTGTCTATACAGCAAAATAGAGATTGCTTCAAAACATGTCATAATATCACTTCTTTCCCCACTCGTCATTGATTTGATTCTCATCTTGCGTAAAACCCAAAGTCTTTATAATACCCTACAAGGCCCTACTAACTTGCTCCCCAGCCTCCCCACTAGCTAACTCTCTGGTCTCCTTTCTACTTCTCCCTCTCTTTCTTAGTCACCTCATATACAATGGGGCCTTTATGCTTTTTTCCCATCTGGGAATTCATCCCCCGCAAGTCTTTGCACCGGTGTTTCCTACGCATGTCTGTAGGGCTCAGCTCCTACAGGGGTCTGTTACACACCTCCTTGGAATCCTTCCCAATTTACCCCATTTAAATTGCAATTCTTCTTCAAAATTAACTCCTGATCCTCATGCAAATGCTTTCTTTCTCATCACAGCACCTGTCAGCACCTGACAAACTGTTCACTTCACTCATTCATCTTTATTTATTATCAGTTTCCTCCACAAGAATATGAGCAGACTTGGAGATGTTTGTGGAAAAAATGGAAATAAAGTATGAGTTTATTTGGGCACAAAAACATTTTGACATTCAGGCATAGTTTTTTCATAATACACATTTTTAATGATTTTTCAGAAGTCTCCGTATAGAGGTTCTATGGGAACAGGGATTCTCACTTGTGTCCCTGTCATCCAGGACAGTGTCTGACACATAGCAGGCATTTAGTTAATACCTGTGGAATAAGCAAACAGCTAATGAACATAAATACTTAAATCTTCATCTAGAAAGTTATAGATCTGCCTGATTTTTTTCAGTGTTGAGTCCATGTCCTCCTCTCAGTCATGACTTATAAAAACTGCCTGGGCATGCTGGAGTGCTGTTCATTGCCCTTCTCTTCCTGTCTCCCTTCTGGGTATCTTGCTCTGGAGTGTCTTGGATTTGTTCCTGTCGTAGTAATGCAGGAATTATTGACTCTCTGTTAGAAGATTCTTTGACATTACATTATAAGTACTATATCTTTATTAACACTACTTTTATACCTCTAGCTGTTCCTTTTTCTTTTCTTTTTTTTTGGAGAGGTTTTCGCTATAGGGCATGTGCGCTCGCCAGACAGGCAGAGAGAGACAGAGAGACAGAAAGTGAGAAATCACCCCCCAGGGGGGATGGCCATGCCGCAATCCCTTCTCCGCTCAGGATCTTGGGCACGCACACACACGTGCCCAGCGTGAGTTTTAAGCCACCAGGTCCAGGACGCGAACTGCGGTCGACTATGTGGGAGTCCAGCGACATAGCCATTACACTAACTGCTGGTTCCAACCTCTAGCTGTTCCTTTACAAACTAGAAGTCAAGGGAATGAAATTCTCTTCTTGTGCTACATTAAGAACCTACTTCAGCTCCAAATGAACACAGACACTCTTAGAATTTTTTCCCCCTGTTTAATTGCTTCATGACTATGTAAGACCTTGATAGGATATATTCATGGATTTATTCCATTTATTCTTTTGGTATAATCTATCTAATTTGCTTGAGATTTATCCAGAATGTTCTACTTAATATCAATATAGTTATTTCTTGCTCTAGTTATGTGTTAGATCTTCCCCCAAAGAACTCCAGCAGAAGCCTTCATTCGGCACACAGGAAATTCTGTACCTAGCAGTCTTGCTGACCCAGCTACAAGAGGCTCTGTGACGCATTTCACTTTCAGGGGCCAATGCAGGGTTTCTATATCCCATGGTACTATAAATAGCACATCAGGGAATGCTCAGGTCTGCTGAAAATTTTCTTTGCAGTGCAGGTCAGTATTTGCAGAAAGAAAGTCATAGGCTAACTGATTTGACACAGTCACTTGTTCCTTATGTCTCCTCAGTTCTAGACAGAACCACCCAGAGTGTTCTTCTGCTCATGTACATAGCATTTGCTCTCAGCAGATACCTCCATTCCTGTGTTTATACTGCCTTCCTCTGACTCACAATATCTAATGTACTCTTTAAGATGCATCTCAAGTGAGAAAGCTTTCCATAAGTCGGCCTTGTAGAAGTGCCTTCACAGTCCTGTATTGGATTGCCCATGCATTTGTGCAGCTCTCTCCTGTAGCGACCTCAGCACTGCATTTGCATTTGTTCCCCAGTCTGTACGTCCATGCTGTTTTCACCCATCTCTCCTCACATCCCACTTTGCGAGTCCTGGGGCCTCTGACATCTCTCTCCTTGCATCTTTTCCCAACGCTGTAGGAAATGCTCAGATACACTTGTTGAGTGAGTGGCCAATTGTGTAAATGAATACATTTATAATCAAGTGGGGGACTATAATTCATTGGAGTTTGTTCCCAGCTGAATGTCTTTGAAAATAATCCTCCTATGTTGGATTTGTGTTTTTCTATTTTCCCTAGCAAATACCCTCTACTATGTGTACAGGCCAGTGGGAGAGAAAGAAGTGGTCATATTTAAATAACACTTCAGGGACTATTTTTGTTTTTGTGTTTATTTATTTATTTTAATTTCCAAGGAACAGATTAGTTTGCTCTTTATAAACTTCTTGGCATCTTTCTTTCCACTTGCTCTTTTTTTCTCGGCCCAGTCTTTATTCAAATTCCTCCCAAGGGTCTGCTGTAAACAATGATTTTGTGAGAGGTTGTGTGTTCTTTGCAGTGAAAACCCGCCTTGTTTTCTGTTGCTAGGCAACCCCATTCCAGCTGCCATTGAAGAAATGCGTGGTGGTGGGAAATGGTGGGATTCTGAAGAAGAGTGGCTGTGGCCGTCAAATAGATGAAGCAAATTTTGTCATGCGGTAAGAGAGAGCACCCACAGTGCGGCCTTTGCCTGCCTTCTCTCCTTTTCCCCACCCCTCCCATCAGCCCCGGGGCCATTTGGAACTAGTCACTTGTGATTAATCAATCCTAATGTGCTCTTTAGCTTCCCTTCCAGCTCATAGACAAATGAGTTAAGGAAAGGGATAAGGGGAGTGAGAGAACAGGCCCTGAGAAAGGACAAGGCCAAGAAGGGCTCAGAGGAAGTAGTGATACCCACTCTGCCGTGAGTCAAGGCTGCAGAGAAAGCATGGATCTCGTTTTAGATTACATAGTCAGGTGATTGCAACTTTATAAATCACTCCTTCATTAAGGCCACTTCTCGATGAGTAGACATTTTAATGGGTTCATTTTATTTTCCATCTCTTTCTAGTGGTTCACAAAAGCATTTGTAAGCAGCAAGTAGAATTTTAAGAGGGGTTTGATCCCTTTGTGAGTAGGAAAACTGGAAAAGCAGTGCGGAGGGTGAAGGGAGTAACTCAAATGAAAGCAGTCTGGTCATGGGACTGAGAAAAATGGTGATGGGACCATGAGTTGACCCCCCACCCCCGGGAAACAGGGGTCCCTGAAGGTACAGGAATTGGTGAGACACACCTAGCCAAGGGAGTGACCCTCAACTTGTCCTAGCACTAGCCCAAGCTGAGCCTCCAGGTGTAGAAGCTAAGGCAGTGAGTGATTCGATCCACACAGGTTTGGGATCATCCCGGTGAGAAGGAAGAACACAGAGAGTGAGGGTTCTGGCTAGAGAGAGGGAAGCAAGGTGACTGAAGTCGAGGCTGGACCAGATGTGGGTTCTGAGATGTGTGAGGGAGGAAAGAAGGGGCCCAGGAGGAGGTCCTTCTGAGCTAGTGAGGCTGATGGAAATGGGGTATGAAGGAGCTAATGCCAGAGTGTAAGAGCAGACTGGGGATGACCTGGCTACAATCAGATGCACTGTGGAAAAGCAGACGCTTGTTATGGAGGAACTGAAGGAACGATGAGGCCAGACTCTGGAGAGTCTTTCAGGCAGACCCCAAAGTCTCACTGATGTGAGAATGACGATGAGTCAGGCACCAGGAAGCTCAGTGGCTAGGAAGGCCCAAGATAGTAGCCCACAGAGGGCAGAAAGCTGAGCAAGGGAGGGAGGATTCTGTGTTTTGTTCAGTTATAAGGAAAAATATGTAACATTATAGGAGTAGCAAAAGCTAGCTTAGAGATGGGGCCAGCAGGTGGCGTGGTGAAGGTGCTAGACTCTCACATGGCCGACTACAGTTTGAGTCCTAGACTTGGTGACTTATTTTCTCACTTTGCCTCTCTGTCTCTCTCTAGTCAAATTAAAAATATAATAATGATGATGAAAATGAAATTTAAAAATACTCTATTTTAACAAAAAGGTATTCAAAGAACATAAATATCTCCTGAGCTCTGTGCTAGTAGTAACCGTTAGACAACTTGAAAGAGTTTCAGGGGAAACCATGTGCCTGGAGGAGGGCCAAGTTCCTGGCAGAGGAGGAGAGTGAGGCTCCTTGAAGCACATTTTATCTCACTTGGTGAAGCCTGCAGCAGAATGGAGGTTATTCTTTATCATTACCTGCCTCTCCATTGCATTTATTTATTTATTTATTTTTGAGATATTTTTGGTGTTGGGTGCATGCGCTTGCTGGAGAGACAGAGAGGGACAGAAAACAAGAAATTGCACCCCAGGGGGGATGGCCATGCCACAATCTCCTCTCCTCTATTCTCCTCTCAGGGTTTTGGGCACACGCACACATGCCCAGTGTGAATTTCAAGCCTCTGGGTTTGGGACTCAAACCACGGTTGGCCATGTAGGAGTCCAGTGATGTAAATATTGCACTACCTCCTGGTCCCCACTTTTGCATTTTTTTAAAAAAGAATTATTTAATTAAATTGATTTAATATTATTATTTTTAGTTTGATGAGGGAGAGACAAGAGAAGGAGATAGAGAAAGTAAGAAAGTGAGAAAACCAACTCTCCAGGTCTGGGGCTTGAACTGTGGTTGGCCATGTGGGAGTTCCGAACCCTTAACTGCCATGCCACCTGCCAGCCCCATCTCTATAGCATTTTTTAAACACACCTCCCCCCCCACACACACACTTGTGCACACAATTGGAAAATGGAAAAAATAAAATATTTTTTCTCTTTTTTGTTTAATTGCCGGTGGGTGAGAGCATTCGCCAGAGAGACAAACAGGCAGAGAAAGAGAAAGACTGAGAAAGAGAAAGAGGGAGAAAGCAGTCCCCAGTGGGGCATGGTCACTACACACTCTGTTCTCCTTCAGTTATCCATCCTGTTGGAATTTAAGGCACACATACACATGTGCCTAATGTGTCTTACAGGTTGCCAGAACTCAGAGCCAAACCATGGTTAGTCATGTAGGAACCAGCTTTCGTGACATCTAAGCTATGGGGCTTGTTAAAAGAAAAATAAACTAATAATAAAAATAATTTAATAGAGTTTTATTGAGCAGATGTTAACACGATTTAAATTGGGCAGTTGTTTTTGACTTTTGGACAATTTTGGCCAGCCTCCTGGTCAACTCTGCATGTAAGATGGCAGAAAAGGAAATTGACGTGTGCAGTGAAAGGGCAAGTGTCCTACAAAGACGGAAGTGAGGAAGAGAGACATCATTGGTTGCATTCTGAAGTTCGTTTGTATTAACAGGGTTTAAAAGGAGGGATGTTTGTGATTGACTGAAGCCTAGGTGCTGTGATTGGTTGTAACCTGGCGACCAGCTCAGACAAACAGCCTAACTAACATGTTCTATTTCGGCCCATTTGTAGGACTGGAAGTGTGGGAGTACAGTGGCTGTTTTAGGCCAAAATAGTTTAACAGGCTGATCCTCTTAATTCAAGTCAATACATCTGTTTTGTGAACAGTAAAGTGGGCCTTTAGCTGGGGTGGAAATGGTGTTGAACAATTCTGTCAGGGCCTTGTGTCTTGGAGATGTGCTTGCTAGACAGGGGGAATCCCGAAGCAGACAGTAGGGGGAGCTGGAGCTTCTGAGCGAAAGTGCTGTCTGGGTTGACTCATTTCACTCCGGGCAGAACAGCCTTTCCCAAAGCTTGACTGTGGGAAAGACACTAAGTATTTCCACAGAGCTGTACGCAATAGGGAGAATGGCTTGAGAAGTGGCTGGAGAGGTTATTTAATTTTTAAGGAGAGGATAAAATCACCTAGACAGCATGGATAGAGGAGAACAGCGGAGGCCCTGGGCCAGCTTTGGGCTCCCTGAATATTGTGGCGTTGGATGAGACTGAGGAACCACCCAAGAACACGGAGAGGCGGGAGGACAAGCTCTTGCTCTTGATGAGATTTGTGATCTATAGTACATTTTATCTTTCTTGGACTCAGCGTTCTAATCCATATGAGGAAGAACAGACAGTTCCTCATGTCTTCCCACTGTGGCAACTCTCATTCTGTCGATGCCTGTACTGTATCCTTGCAATGCAGTTTATGTACTTCCCTTTGAATTTTTAAATTGTCCTGGAGTATAAGTTTATTGGCTTTTCCCAAAAACTATGTAAGGAAGAAGGAATAGGTAATATTAAACTCACAGATTCAGTGAAGTTAAGTGAGTTCGAGTAGTCTTAATACAATGTGGAAGAAGGCAGTATAGTAAGTGTACTTTTATATTATTCCTGAGTGTGTATCTGTGGGAATCATTGCATTTAGGAAGCTGGATATTTTAAACTTAGCCTAGAGAAGGTTTGATTTATGCACTCTTGGGCATTATCTAGTATGGTCACATTTATCACCAATAAACAAAAATAAGTAAGCCTTGTATAGAATCTGGTGTTGATATATTCAAGTTCAGAATTCACAAATGCCTGTGATTACACTGCTTTGCCGAATATTACACATAATATTCATATACTATGAGAGAGGGGCACCAGCAGATGTTGTAGTGGTTAGGGCACTGGACTCCCACATGGCCAACCACAGTTTGAGTCCCAGACCTAATGGTGGGAAACTCACACCAGTGTATGTGTGTGCATGCCCAAAACCCCAAGAGGAGAATAAGAAAGGATTGCAGTGTGGCCCATTTCTCCTGGAAGATGATTTCTTACTTTCTCTCTCTCCACCTTTCTCTATTTCTCAGTACGGGGGGGAGGGGGCACGTGTGCCCTAATAGCAACAAGCAGACTAACAAACAACTCTCAAAAAAAGTAAAAAAAGAATAGGAGGGAGGCAAGGCTTGCAAATTCAGAGAAGGGAGTGTTGTAACTGGAGTGGGTATGTCTGTGCCTCTGGTTTAGTTTGAAGAATGGTGCCATTTGCATAGCACATTTGAATTTTAAAATCCCTTATTTATGGTTTATAATATGGGAACAAAAAATGTTGATCAATTGTTTTTAAATTATTATTTGACCCATTTATAGATCTATTTAAAAATGGTTTCCTAATAAACATTGCAGGTGCACCATTAGAAAATTGCGATAAAATATATTCAAAATCAAATTTGGAGTGCATAAATGTGGATTAGTAAAAACACATGTTATATCTGGTCCTAAACCACAGAGTCTCTAGACAGATACAGTGGGAGAAGAGATTCCAGAACAGCCTTCCTTGTACCTGTGTACAGTAATGGGCCACATTACAGTTCAAAATGTCTTCTAGGACTAGGAGGTAACAATTCTGTAATTTTTTTTGCTTAGACGTTTTAAACACTTCTAATTTTCTATGTTAACCATCAAATTCCTGTGTCTCAAAGTAAACATGTATTCAATAACCAAAAACAACTCTTTTAAAATTATTTTTATTGAGGGAATCAGCTATTAGTGTAATGGCTATGTTGCTGGACTCCCACGTAGTCGACCGCGGTTTGTGTCCCAGACCTGGTGGCTTAAAACTCACGCCGGGCACGTGTGCGTGCGTGCCCAAGATCCCGAGAGGAGAATGGAGGAGAAGGGATTGCGGCGTGACCATCCCCCTGGGGGGGTGATTTCTCGCTTTCTGTCTCTATGTCTCTCTCTGTCTGTCTGGCGAGCGCACATGCCCTATAGCGAAAACCTCTCAAAAAAATTAATTTTATTGAATTTAATTTATCTGGAAGATCTTCAGGGACCAGCAGATGGAGTAATGGTTACATTGCTGGACTCCCACATGGTCGACTGTGGTTCAAGGCCCAAATCCAGTGACTTCAAACTCATGCCGGGTGCATGTGCATGTGCGCCCAAAATCCTGAGAAGAGAATGAAGGAGAGGGGATTGTGGCGTGGCCTTGCCTCCTGGGGCCGGGGCTGTGATTTCTCGCTTTCTATCTCTGTCTCTCCAGTGAGCACATTGCTCCCTCTAGCAAAAGTCTCTCTCTAAAAAAAATGGGGAGATCTTCAAAACAGAAATAACAATAACCATGTTTTGGAGAGGAACTGGGTAACTCAGGGACACAGTGAGAGCAGCATTTCAGTGCCTTTTGAATTACACTCGACTGCATGATTTATATGCTTAAATATATTTTTGAAATACAATTTAAAAAGCCATTTTATAATTTTTCTATTTAAAATTTCCTATCCACTAAGCCCATTCCCCAAGCACCCTCATTTCTCAATTTAAAGAACATTCATTTCTCATCAGTTCTGTGATCAGACCTATTTGAGGATCGTTGAGTACAGCTAAGACACTTCAGCCATTAATATCTGGTAATTGCATCAACAAATGATAATTCAAAGTTTGAACACTTTTATATAATTATGCCTTATTAGAAACAACTTCACTGCATGAAATGTGCCTTTTATGTAAATCTGTGTAATTGTCAATTTAGGAGTTGGGGAGGTAAAACTTTAATGTTCTTTTTCTGAGAAAAGAGTTATATGCAAGTGTCACAGATATTTGTAGTTAAAAAGAAAGTTTACCCAGAAAACCTCAAGAGTCTTTTGATATTTACATCAAAATGTATTGTTATTATCTTCCAGAGATGAATTTATAAAATATTGTCTTTGTCATTGAAGTATTTTTCTTGGTTGTAGGATATAATCAATATCTGCAAGTTTTCTGGCGTATGAGCTATGGAACACATAGAAAAGCAAAGTTTTACTTTTGGAAACCAATTAGTTTCATTTACTAACAACAAACCAGGCTGATAGCATTCCCTTGCAATAGTTAGAGTTTATCATTTTAGTAAACTATGATTGATTCTTAAATATTACCGAGGGCGGGAACCAGCAGTTAGTGTAATGGCTATGTCACTGGACTCCCACGTAGTCGACCGCGGTTTGTGTCCCGGACCCGGTGGCTTAAAACTCACGCAGGACGCGTGTGCGTGCGTGCCCAAGATCCCGAGAGGAGAATGGAGGAGAAGGGATTGCGGCGTGACCATCCCCCCTGGGGGGGTGATTTCTCGCTTTCTGTCTCTATGTCTCTCTCTGTCTGTCTGGCGAGCGCACGCGCCCTACAGTGAAAATCTCTCAAAAAAAAAATATTACCGAGGGCAATTAGATCAAAGCTTCTTTAAGAGACAAGTGTCCAAATTTTTGTCCATGTTTTATCTTGAAAGTCATTTTCATCTTTGCACAGATCAGTTAAATTATAAGACCACTCAGATGAGCCTGTTTTATCTTTTCCTTTTTTTTTTTGGAGAGGTTTTTGCTACAGGGCACATGTGCTCACCAGAAAGACAGAGAGAGACAGAGAGACAGAACGTGAGAAATCACCCCTCCCCCCCTTCCCCCCCACTCCTGCAGAGGGATGGCCATGCCACAATCCCTTCTCCTCCATTTTCCTCTCAGAACCTTGGGCACGCATGCACGTGCTCCCGGCGTGAGTTTAAGCCACCAGGTCCGGGACTTGAACTGCAGTTGACTACGTGGGAATCCAGCGATGTAGCCATTATGCCAACTGCTGGCCCCATATGAGCCTGACTGTTAATGCGTAAGCTCTCTTCCTCATGAACACACTCAGGGAACCACATGGGATAGGATATGACCACTAGACTTAGCTACCTCAAGAAAGGGCTCGGTGACTTGGGCTCTCCCCTGAATTTCCTATGATGTCCACTGTGTTTGCTCTCACTGGACATTCAGCCTCAGCCACTGACTAGTTAATTGATCTTCAGGTAACTGCCAGAAGAACTAGTGTCTCATTACCAAAGAGCAGATGAAAGGAATATTCTAAATGAAATGAGAGTTTTCTGCCTAGGATGCCCTGACGTCCTAGAAGTCACAGGGTAAATACAAGATGGTAACAGGGAGCTAGAGCTGAACAGTCCCATCTCCTGGAGGAATCTAGTAGTTGGGCAACTGGCAGAGACCTCAATATTTGTATATCTTTACTAACAAATAAAAAATGTTTTTGTTTGCTGAAGTCATTAAAAATTAGACCTGTCCTGGTGTGATTAAGAGTCGAGTTATATGGGTAGAGAGGAGAAATCAGGATCGGTAATAAAAGTAAACCTAATGAAGACTGTAGGCTTATTTGGGAAGTTTATTGATAATAATGCATAAATTATATTTCTGTGACATTGCTGATTGGTGATATTTTTGAGCTGCTATCACTTGTCAGTCATCAAGATAGGGAATTTTTTAAAAACATTTATTGGGACCAGCAGTTAGCGTAATGGCTATGTTGCTGGACTCCCATGTAGTTGACTGCAGTTTGCATCCTCAACCCAGTGGCTCAAACTCATGCCGGGCGTGTGTGCATGCATGCCCAAGATCCTGAGAGGAGAATGGAGGAGAAGGGATTGCGGCGTGGCCATCCTCCCTGGGAGGTGATTTCTCGCTATCTATCTCTCTGTCTGTCGCGTGAGCGCATGCACTCTATAGCAAAAACCTCTTCAAAACAAAACAAAACAAAACATTTATTTATTTGTTTGCTATGACTTTCAAGCTCTTGGGTTCAAGACTTGAGCCATGTGGGAATCCAGTGCCTCAACCACCATGCCACCTACTGACCCCAAGACAGGGATTTTTTTTTTTTTTTTTTAAGGAGAGTTTTGCTACAGGGTGCATGTGTCCACTCAAGAGACAGAGAGACAGACGGCAAGAAATCATCCCCCATTGGGGATGGCCTCACCATAATCCTCCATTCTCCTCTTGAGATTTTGGGCATGCATGCACATGTGCCCAGTGTGTTTTAAACTGCTGGGTCTGGGACTCAAACTGTGGTCAACTACATGTCCAATGACATGACCATTATGCCATCTGGTGGTCGGGATAGGGAATTTTTATACTTGACATCTTTTGGTCCTTACTTGACTCAGTAAAAGAAGCAAAGTCATCCTCCTCACTTTATGTAAGGAATAAACTGAGGCCAGGCAAATGAATTAGCTTGATTAATGTCTCATGGACAGAAAGCTAAGGGGCATGGATTTGCAATGGACATATTTTCCTTTGTAAACATTGTAAGGCATCGCGGCCAAAGACAACAACCCAGACAGAGGTGGTGTGGGGTGGCTATTTCCATAACCAGTAAAACATCACTTGTGTTCTTTTCCTTGGCTGAACTGGGATGGTGCAGAATTATTGTCCTTTGTGAGTGGTAAATCATTATGTATTCACCAGTAGCAGCCTATGCCGTAGCCACATATACAAGTCATACATACATTGATTTAGGTGAATAATATATAGCCCTAAATATACTGTTATAGTTTGAAGTTTGAGGAAAAAAAGAAAAACACAAACAAGTATCAGGTTGGAAAAGTCCCGACACATTTTTTGCCTAGAAAAACATAGATAAATACAGAGTGACTTTCCCAACGACCTAATAGAATTCCTCCTAGTCTGTAAGGTTTATGGACATCCAGAAAACACTGTCGATCCTGTTTCCTAACGTGCTGCACCCTGCTGAGCTCTAATTTTCAGCACTGTACTCCCTTTCCTATCTCCTCAAAAATATTTTAAGGGACCAGCAGTTGGTGTAATCACTATGTCGCTGGACTCGCATGTAGTCAACTGCAGTTCGAGTCCCGGACCCAGTGGCTTAAACTTACGCCAGGCACGTGTGCGTACGTGCCTAAGATCCTGAGAGGAGAATGGAAGAGAAGGGATTGTGGTGTGGCCATCCCCCCTGGGGGGTGATTTCTTGTTTTCTGTCTCTCCATCTCGCTCTCTCTTTCTGGCAAGTGCATACGCCCTATAGCAGAAAGAAAGAAAGAAAAAAAAAATACCTCTCAAAAAAAGAAAAATAAAAAAATATTTTGAATGGAATAAACACATTCTCATGACTGCCACTTTCCTTTCAGAGAACATTGAGAACATTTACCTCTCTACCTGACATTTCTTTCCCCTGAAACAGAAGTAGTTTTTATGACAGCATTTTGAAGATACTGATGGTTAATTAGTCATCTAATGTCTATTAAAAGGGTGAACGAGTAAAAATAGCTATTTGTGAATTGAGCTGGAATTAATAAAGTTCCTAATTGTGTCACTTGATTTAAAAGCATGCAAATCATTCTAAAATGTTTGTTCTCATTTCTCTAGATGCAATCTTCCTCCCCTGTCAAGTGAATATACTAAAGATGTTGGATCCAAAAGTCATTTGGTGACAGCTAATCCCAGCATCATTCGGCAAAGGTAAGGGTTTATGACTTCTTTCTGTGAGGAATTTAAGAGGTAGGCTTTTGAACTCTTCAGTATCTGAAAGGCAGCAAGTGTAATTCAGTGGGGGAAACAAAGAAGAAAACCATCTGGACAGGCGGGAAGGATGAAGAAGGAATCTGTAAATAAACTAGACAGGATTATGGGAATCTACACAGCATTTCATGCTTCCTCTGGGATTGTTTCTTGCCTTTAGAGATGGTAGAAATAACACCAGGATCAATTGTTTTGCTCAACAAAGTGGCACGATATCCTGCTTACTCATTGCTATTACTTTCTAATTTATTTGCTTCAGCCCCAGCTTATTGATTGGAAACTATGTATTGAATTAATATCAAAGGTAAAAACAAATGACCAGCCTACTACTTCAGCATGTATTAAAATACCAGCATTGTCAGAATGTACACAAATGAATGATGAGAGTGCATGCTGCTACATTACATTATGGGGCATTCAATCAGATTTGGAAAGCAGATGAAAAATTCTTGTGTTTTCTTGTTTTGTTTTGTTTTGTTTTGTTTTGAGAGGTTTTTGCTATAGGGCGTGTGCTCTTGCCAGAAAGAGAGAAACATAGAGACAGACATCCCGGGAGGATGGCCATGCCACAATCTCTTCTCCTCCATTCTCCTCTTGGGATCTTGAGCACGCACGCACATGTGCCCGGCATGAGTTTAAGCCACCAGGTCTAGGACTTGAACCACGGTTGACTACATGGTAATCCAGCAACATAACCATTACGCCAACTGCTGGTCCGGAAAAGTTCTTGTTCTAATATCAGTTCCAGAAATCTTGGCAGCTGAACTTCTGGGGGAGGGGTCTCTGTTTTAGGAAGTTCATCAGTTAGCTATCAACTCTCTAAGGACCGCTCAATGTAGAGATGAGTCTGTCTCTGAGGGAGAAGGAGTGTAACATTGCCCTAGATGTTCCTGTGGATATAACAATTAAGAGCGAATGTTCAGATGTTCTGGACCTAGGCACTTGTCACATCAGGAAGTCCTATGTAAAAGAATAGCACACATGTGTCATTTTATACACAACGTGGCATGACTTGTTTTGATTTATAAATCAGTATTCCCATAATCAATGTTTATTTTGAAAGATACTGTGAAATTACCCTCTCAAAATGTGTAACTTACCCTCTCTTCCATAATGGATAAGAGTCCCTGCTTTCTCATATCAAAAATAACACTCTATACTGTTAATCTTTCATTTAATTATTTTTAGAGGTTTTTGCCAGAGGGTGTGTATGCTCACTAGAGAGCAAGAGACAGAGACAGTGAGAGGGACAGTGAGAAATCACTCCCCAAGGGGGATGGCCGCACTGCAGTCCCCTCTTCCATTTTTCTATTGGGATCTTGAGTACGTAAGCATACATGCCTGGTGTGATTTTCAAGCCACTGGGTCTTGAACTTGAATCATGGTTGGCTATGTAGGAGTTCAGCAATGTAACCACTACACCATCTGCTGGCACTAGTCTTTCATGTTTTTAATCAATGTGTTGAGTGAAAAATGATGGATTGTCTTTACATAATTTGCATTTTTCCTGACCACAACAAGAGTGAAGGGGACATTGACTATTAATGTTCTATGAATTACTTCTTTATATTGAATATTTTTTGTTAGTGCTTGCTCCCTTTTAAAAAAAAGTTTTCCTATTCATTCATAGGAACTGTTTATGTTATGCATATGGTCTTTGCTATATATACAGCATATTTTTTTCTACTCTGTCACATACATTTTAACTTATGTCCTAGTGAAGTCTAAAATTGTTTATGCAATAAAATTTCTTAGTCTTTTCCATTCTGACCTTTTTGTAAAAAAAAAATCTTTCTTTAGACAATCTTCCTTACCCTCTTCTTCCACAATGAAAAAGTGTTAGCCTGTATTTTTCTGGTGCATTTATATTTTCTTTTATTTTTGTGTATTTATTTAATCTGTGATGCAGTTTTTAAGTTGAAAGAGAATTTTGTAACAATAATTTTATTGTTCTTTGACAAATGTATATGTACACTAGAAGAAATTAAACGAAAGATAAAAGTACAAAGAAGATAACCAAAAATTTATAGAAATATTCTTTGATTATTTAAAAAATTATAAATTTGTAAATACTTATAGAGTCACAGGAAACTGCAACAAGACAAAACAAAGCAAAACAAAACAAAACAAAAACACAGGAAAGTCTCAGTTCTATTTTCCCCAGTTTTCCCCAGTGATAATACCTTTTTAAAACCATAGTCTAATGTTTTGACTATTATTTTGAGTTGGAAATAAAATAAGTTTTAAGGAGGCTTACTTTTGTGTGAGTGTGTGTGGAAGGAAATTAAGCATTCAGCATATTACATCCAAGCTTAGGAGACTCTGTTTTTCTTCCTGAATATGTAGAATTGGGGGTTAAGATTTATTTTTTAGTGTGAAAAAGAACATTTAAAGGAAGATGAATTAGAGAAATGGAAGAATGGAAAGGGAGGGAGAGAGAACAAGAGAGCTAGATATTGTGCTTTGGAGGGAAAAAATATATGACTACAAATGTAGGAAGGAAAGGACCAAAAATTAAATATTAAAAAAGGAAAGAAATCCTATTAGTTAAGACTGTTTAACATGAAGAAAAAAGATATAAGAACCACTACACCATCTGCTGGCACTAGTCTTTCATGTTTTTAATCAATGTGTTGAGTGAAAAATGATGGATTGTCTTTACATAATTTGCATTTTTCCTGACCACAACAAGAGTGAAGGGGACATTGACTATTAATGTTCTATGAATTACTTCTTTATATTGAATATTTTTTGTTAGTGCTTGCTCCCTTTTAAAAAAAAGTTTTCCTATTCATTCATAGGAACTGTTTATGTTATGCATATGGTCTTTGCTATATATACAGCATATTTTTTTCTACTCTGTCACATACATTTTAACTTATGTCCTAGTGAAGTCTAAAATTGTTTATGCAATAAAATTTCTTAGTCTTTTCCATTCTGACCTTTTTGTAAAAAAAAAATCTTTCTTTAGACAATCTTCCTTACCCTCTTCTTCCACAATGAAAAAGTGTTAGCCTGTATTTTTCTGGTGCATTTATATTTTCTTTTATTTTTGTGTATTTATTTAATCTGTGATGCAGTTTTTAAGTTGAAAGAGAATTTTGTAACAATAATTTTATTGTTCTTTGACAAATGTATATGTACACTAGAAGAAATTAAACGAAAGATAAAAGTACAAAGAAGATAACCAAAAATTTATAGAAATATTCTTTGATTATTTAAAAAATTATAAATTTGTAAATACTTATAGAGTCACAGGAAACTGCAACAAGACAAAACAAAGCAAAACAAAACAAAACAAAAACACAGGAAAGTCTCAGTTCTATTTTCCCCAGTTTTCCCCAGTGATAATACCTTTTTAAAACCATAGTCTAATGTTTTGACTATTATTTTGAGTTGGAAATAAAATAAGTTTTAAGGAGGCTTACTTTTGTGTGAGTGTGTGTGGAAGGAAATTAAGCATTCAGCATATTACATCCAAGCTTAGGAGACTCTGTTTTTCTTCCTGAATATGTAGAATTGGGGGTTAAGATTTATTTTTTAGTGTGAAAAAGAACATTTAAAGGAAGATGAATTAGAGAAATGGAAGAATGGAAAGGGAGGGAGAGAGAACAAGAGAGCTAGATATTGTGCTTTGGAGGGAAAAAATATATGACTACAAATGTAGGAAGGAAAGGACCAAAAATTAAATATTAAAAAAGGAAAGAAATCCTATTAGTTAAGACTGTTTAACATGAAGAAAAAAGATATAAGGGCAAACAAAAATCATTGTTAGTACTGGTCAACATTTAGGCAATATTTCTATGTGCCAGGTTCTGTGTTCCTTGTATGACTTGCTTTATTTAATCCTCAGGACAATTGTAAGAGATAGGGAATATTTTAATTTATTTACTTTACAGGAAAATGAAGTTGAGACATGGGACGTTAGGAACCTGCTCATATGCATAGCTACCAGTAATCAATCCAGCCTTCACCCCCAGGCCTCTCTTATTCCAAGCCCATGCTCTTTTATTTTTTTTTTTTCAATTCATAATTGAGAGCATGCACATGATCCACAAAGGCGAAAGAGAGAGAGAGTGCGCGCGCGAGAGAGAGAGAGAGAGAGAGAGAAGGAGGGAGAGAAAGAAGTACCTTCCACAGGGCTCAGTCATGCCATGATCCCCTTTATCCAGTCCTCCATTCCACCAAGATCCTGAGCACACTTGCATGCACCCAGAATGTTTTCAGGTTGAGGGGGCTGGGGACTTGAACCAGGGTTGGTGGCATTCAGCTCCCCACAGTGGCTTGGTCAAAGTCTGTCTTTTTAACTGGTCACCATCACACTGTCCCATCTTCCCAGGTGATTGATCTATTACCCAAGTAGACAATAGAACTTTTATCATTGATAAGTCATTTTGGAAAAGAGAAAAGTTTCTTCATTAAGAAATATATATGTATATATTTTTCATATATTCATTGTAACACTGTTCTAGATACAAAATCAATATGTATATAGCAGTTCCATTTTATTAAATTATAAAAAATATTTCAGTTACAAGAGCATCAAATGTTATGGTAGACCTAAGAAGCAAAAAGTAAGCCTTCTATGAAAAATTTGTTAAATAGTATTGAGAGACATTTCAGACAAACCAAATTAAATGTACAGATATAACATGTCCATAATTGAAAGATTTAGTATTGTAAAGGCCTCAGGTCTATTCTGGTCTACCCAGATTGATCTAGAGACTTGTTGAAATTCCAATAAAGATCCTAGCAGTGTGCATGTGTGTGAAAAAGTGCATGTAAAACTTGATATATAGATTCTAAAAGTTATGTAGAAATGCAAAAAACCAAGAATAGCAAAGAAGCTCAGGAAGAAAAAATGGTTGAAAGTATTGTCCCCATCAAATTCTTTTTTAAGAGAATTTTTTGCTATAGGGCACATGTACTCAATGGAGAGA